GTGGGATGCGGATTCGAACCCGCGACCCTCAGATTGTGAGTCGAGCGCCTTATCCACCTGGCCATGCCGGGCACGCATTGGAGTCAGTGAAATCTCTTGAAACTCAAGTGTTGCAACTATAACATTTGTTGCTTTTACCGAACGTTTATATTTTCTAGTTCACCAAACTACAAGAGAAAATTTGCCCATCGTATTTTAGGGCACACACATATGAAATTAAGTTTTATATATATTTGACTTGTTCATTTTTGTGAGGACAGATGCTTTTAATCTCATAAGATACAAATTATAATAAACAAAAGTTACGAGTACTATGGATGAAAAGAAATCTTAGAAAATAATGTATACGTATTAAGTTCTATATATATATATATATATATCAAAGATGATAATAACAGCCATAAGCAAGAAGCGGGAAGAAAATAATTATCCTAATTAATAAGTATAACTAACTGTATAAAAGTAACAATAAGATTTTTAATAATGTTATGGGTTTCGTTTATCAAAACGAATTTCTAGTAAGAAGCGTGTATTATTACCATATCAAGTTTACATTTTAACCGTTGCCAATGGTCCTTACAAGTACTAAATTACTCAACAATGCCAGGAGTACAAAGCCTTAACTGTAGCGTTGTTTAAAACAAGTCATAAAATATTAACCTCAAGCTGTATAAAGGTGTATAACCTCAAGCTATATATATATATATTATTTTATACTGCATGGTTCAGTAAAATAATAATGACACTAAAAATATTTTAAAACAGGATCTCTCCCTCAACCATAGGCCTCTTTGTAGTAGGAATTACACGTAAAAAATCCGAGATTATTTCATTTCGGTGAAACTTATATAGGATGTAGCATATTATGAAACATGAAGATTACTATCAGTTTTTAAATCGTACAAAAATTGACTGAGTTATGACTGGATCACATCATCAACAAAAACCTCATAATTAATGACAGTATTTCTTGTAGAGTAACCGATGGGTCTGCTACGTGTGACTTCTTCTTTGCCCCTCGTTGTATCTGTTTCTCATACAGAGCCCAACAGGTCTTCAGCAGATAGCTCTAAGCCTCACTGACCGTGACAGGAACTTTTCTACTTTTCAGCTTGTCATCATCAATCACCATAATTCCTTCGATTATCTGCATGTGCAAGGTTCCAAGATTTTTACATGTAACCTGTGTAACCGTTGAAGTTAAAATCACGGTGGAATTTTTG